GTGTGATGTTGGCGTACCTGTTCCCAAACGTGCTGCTGAGGTCGTCCAGAACGTTGTTGAGCCTCACCTGAAGGTCGCTCAGCAGGTCGCTGGCCTCCGTGTCCATCTGGTGGAGAAAAGAAAACCTTCTAGATCAAATCATGACATCTGTGTGTTTGTAGAGAAACAGAAAGGGAGGTAAAACTGAACCATGTTGGCATTTCTGTTTTGAGAAGCTGGAACTGGATGAAAGCTGCAGATGAAAAAGTTTGGATTTCCTCCTTAAGCAGGACGAGGATTTCCATTAGGTTACATTATGAAACATTTCTTTATTCAAGACTTGAACCACTCGGGACTAACTGCAGAACCCAACATAACGCAATAAACTGTAAGAAATTAAAGTTTAAAGGTATAAAAGAGGATTTTCTTTTATTCGGGTGGATCATCAAAATAATTGGTCCTCCTAATTGTCAGTTATTCTGGTGATATGTTTACATAAGGCCATCCTGCGTGCTCGTCACCATTTTTACTTGGTGGGTCTGACATAGTGGAAAAATTGCAAATCTTCTTTTGGAAAGTAAGCTCGTATGAGTGATGCAAACAGAAACGTTTAAACAGAGCGTGCACTAGGAGAAATGGGCTCGTGCACGCTCTCGCACGTGTTCAATATTAGGCGTTCTCTCTCTGGAGCGGGTACAGGGTTGTGCATGTGCATTTTTTTTTAAGTGTAGAGGACGGGTCTTTTCAAAAATTCACGTAAACCCTCCACTATAACTTTAACAGTTGATTTTACTGTGTGACTGACTTCAAAAGTTCTGTGACATGCTTAAAAAGAAAAAAAAAAAAAAAGACTCAAAGTGGGTCATTTGTTCAATTCATTTCTAGACAAACTGGGAGTTGTTTGTATTTCCTCAGATTCCCTTTAGGAGGGAGTGTTTTCAGCTCTTTCTTAACGGGGCCGCCTTTGTCCAGGCTACCGTCACCGGGTGAAGCTCAGTCGCTCCGTCCCCCGCCGGCTCCCTGCCCCCGTCCGCCGGGGTTCCCGGACCAGCCCCGGAGCTGACGGCTCAGTTCAGGCTCAGAGTGCCCGGTGTGTTTCGACCACGTGCTGCACTGTAGTCGACCAAAATCCCAGATGATTTTGAAATTGCACCCTGGACATTTTTTAGGTATGAAAAGTAGGACATGTCCGGTAGAAAGGTGACGTCTGGTCACCCTACCACATCAACAATTTGAATGTTTCAGTGAGTGAGTGCTTGTTGCTATGATGCGTCTTTGTTCAGCAGTTTTGCTCGTTATAAACCAACCAATCAGCGCACAGCTCATTTAAATATTCATGAGCATACCATAAAAGGAAGAAAACCTGTCCTAGGGTTATTCTAGGGCTTATAACCAGCCTTGCATTAGGGCTCATAGAACAGCAAATAGGCCATTTTCAGCCCAACCAATGTTACACACCCTATTCAGACCTTAAGGACCAGCACCAAATATCCTATATAATCATTCTGTGCCCCCTTTAAAACTCATTACCCTGCAGGTTTATGATGCTTTCGCACACCTGAATCATCAGGTTGAAAAGACACAGCTGTAGCATTGTTGTGCATGAACACATACAATGAACGGCGTTAACTGAAGACATTCATATTTTTACTGAACGGGTAACTGAAGGCATCGGTTTTGAAGTAATAAACGTGAACAAGAGCGATGTCCTTTCTAGAGATAATGAACGACACACACAGCTCACATTTGCGTTCAATTGATAACTACATTTTTTTTAACGTCAGGTTTTACGGCACTTATTACAGCAAACAGCATGACAGATCAGCCTGTCTACTGCTAATACTAGTTTGCGCAATTAATACTCATCTGCTGGTATTTCTGATGCCAGTTTTGCAGAGTGTATTGTTCAAATAAAGGCTTACCTGCACATCCAATAAACCTTGACTGCATCCAGCATTTTCCATGTCTTTCTATATATTATGTTTGCACATTTAAAGGGTGAAATAAGAGGTTACTATTGTGTAGGATTGTGGCTTCATTTACCGAATTAACTTGAGCTAATTAATTTATAGGTAGGTGAGCTTAGTTAATATTTAGAAAAAGTTTACTGTTAACGTGAGCTGGTTCATTTTCATCTGTGTGAACTGAACTTTGAGCTCGTTCTTTTTAACTATGAACTGGCACAACATTGGCCTTAGGGAAAATAGCAAACATTGAGGATAAGGTTGTCTGGTTGGATGAAAAAACTAAGTAAAAACTACTTGTGAGCTGGAATGCAATTGACCCAAAGCACAACATGGGTGTAAACAAACCAAAACAAAAACATTCCCATGGAGGAATTTGGTGAGACAACNAAAAACATTCCCATGGAGGAATTTGGTGAGACAACCGGTCAGAGTTGGTGGGATAATAAATGGAGCTAAATCCAAAATGATCCTGGAAGAGAAGCTGTTAGCAATTACAGACAAATATAGACTGAAGGGTTAGATTAAAGCATTAATGTCTTAGAACGGCCTAGTCAAAGTCCAGACTTCAAAGAAAATGTTGCAACAATAAAACCTGATGTGATCATGACCTGTTTTGCAGTGAAGAAAGAGCAACAATTTCAGTCTCTAGATGTGCGACTGTAACTGCAGCAAAAGGTGGGGGCAATTAAAAAAAAAAGGAAAATCTCACTCATTTTTTTAAAAGTTTTTTTAAATAAAAAATGAAAACCATGAATCTTCTTCATAGTCTTAATATGCAACATTAACTACACTACATGAGGTAGGTTTGAGGATGTAACAGGATGAGTTTTACTTCTGTGAACCACAGTGAATTAACATCATAATATGAATGTTTCAGTAAAGCTACTGTAACATTCATAAACTCACCTTTTGATCCTCAAATGCTTTTTCTCTCTTTTGTGGCACAGGAAATGAGAGGTAAAACAAGAAATTCCTGATAAAATGCTCTGTTTTCAACTTTAACTCATATAAAGTGTGAATAGAATAATAAAGGTGGATGCTTTATGCCCATGCCTACCTCTTCAAAGAGTTCATCCATCTTTGTGTTTGAAAGGTTTTAGAGATATAAAAAGAAACAACATAGAGGCTGTATAATCCAATGATTTCTGGATATTTTTCACAGTTTTTTTTAAATTCAAATTTACAACATTA